ATTGTGCAGTGTTTCAGTGCTACTGACTTGGCTACTTGTCCAGAATTCAGACTGTAGCAAAAATCCATGGTCAAAATAAATTAAAAGCTGTTTCTGTCCTTGGAATTGTAACAGAGTGTAAGCTGCCAATTTCTGAGGATATTTTCTGTTGCCTTAATTTTGAAGAGCAGCATATCAGTCTGGTCTTGACAAAATTTATGCTTATTTTGAACATGTATTTGGGAATGTATTTTTAATCAACATTTTTCATCCCTCTCATCTGTAAGGGTGCAACAATTCATTAAACCTGAAAATGTATAGATTATGATACCAATAAATGCAATAGCCATTAAGTGATCATTAATATAAAGAATCACTTTTCCATATGGAAACGTATAACGGAGACCCATTGCTTGTATGCTTGAGCATAGTCTTAAGGAACTCATCTTGTAAATCACCACTGATTTCTCTGATCATTATTGCTAGAGAACAAAAGTAATCCAGATAAACGTAACTTCTATGTTTCTAACTCAGTCAAAGTACAGTATCTAAATTTCCAGCTAAACAGCGGAGACAGTGAGTTAATTGATACAGAACATCCCTGTCCCCGGCAATCTAAAAATTATAGGGCTATCAGTGCGTGTAACACAGATGTGTGTGTGGACAAGAATATCAACCTTGCTGTCAAGCAAAATCAAGCTTCTAATAATGAGTGCCACACAAAGTGCACTATCCAAATAGGTGGTAAAACAATAGGGGAACTCAGGCACCACACAGGTTACGTAGAAAGTAAACACAGGGTCAGTCATAAAGGACTCAAATGTCTATACACCAATGCACAGAGTATGAACAGCAAACAGGGTGAACTAGAAATTCAGGTTATTGAGGGCAGATATGATATTGTTGCCATTACGGAAACATGGTGGGATGAAACCCACAAATGGAACACACAGCTAGAGGGATTTAAATTATTTAAAAGAAACAGACCAAATAAAAGAGGAGGCGGAGTTGCTCTCTATATAAGAAATAATTACATCTCTACAGAAATAGAGCACAACAATGAGGAAACCTGTCTTGAATGCATTTGGGTCAATATAAAAGGGGGGGGGGAAATGACATTGCCATAAGTGTATACTACAGGCCACCCAACCAAACAGAGGAAATAGATGAACTTTTTGCTAGTCAGCTAACTAAGGTATGTAGGAAACACATCACAATAGTAATGGGGGACTTTAACTACCCTGACATCAACTGGGAGACAAACTCTGCACCAGGTGAAGATCAAACAGATTCCTTGCAAACCTAGCAGACAACTTTGTCTCCCAAAAAGTAGAGAAGGGAACTAGGGGATTAGCCATTTTGGACCTAATTCTCACTAACAGAGATGAAACGATAGAAGGTGTTGAAGCCATAGGAACCTTGGAAGGAAGTGATCATGCAATATTGGAATTCAACATTATGGAAGCACAAGCAATAGAACACAGTCAAATTAGAGTCTTGGACGTCAAGAGAGCTAATTTCAATAAACTTAGAGAGGGCTTGGGAAGGATTCCATGGATGAGAATCCTCAAGGGAAAAACAACTCAAGCAGCTTGGGAAATTTTGAAAAATGAGATAATAAAAGCCCAGTCTAGCACAATACCAACAAAGAGGAAATATAACAGCTCTCAAAAGAAACCAGCATGGCTGCATAAAGAACTCTCTGATCAATTGAAAGATAAAAAGGACAAGTATAGAAAGTGGAAAGAGGGGCACATAACTAAGTCAGAATATCAGCAAATAGCCCGAGCCTGCAAAGATGAAATGAGGAAAGCTAAGGCTCAAAATGAACTAAGGCTTGCGAACAAAGTCAAAAATAACAAAAAAAAGCTTCTTTCAACATGTAAAAAATAAGAAAAAAGTGAAGGAAATGATTGGTCGACTAGTGGGTGAAAGTGGCAAGAAGGTGACAAGCAACAGGGAGGAAGCAGAACTATTTAACTCGTTTTTTGCATCTGTCTTTACACAAAGGGAAAAAACAGACCAACCTACCAAAAACAGTGCCACAAAAAAACAGAATAGAAACGTAAGTTAAGATAGGCAAGAAAACAGTAAGTGAGCACCTGTCCAGGCTAGACGAGTTCAGATCACCAGGACCAGATGGATTACACCCCAAGGTTCTCAAGGAACTGGCAGATGTCATCTCAGAACCACTGAACTATATTTTTCAAAGATCCTGGAGCACTGGGGAAGTACCGAAAGACTGGAAAAGAGCTGATGTAGTTCCCAAAGCGCCTGAAGGCAGGACAAGAAGCAACGGATGAAAACTAATCAAGGAGAGAAGCAACCTAGAACTAACGAGAAACTTCCTGACAGTTAGAACAATTAACTAGTGGAACAACCTGCCCCCAGAAGCGGTGAATGCTCCAATACTGGAAGTTTTTAAGAAGAGACTGGACAGGCATTTGTTTGAAATGGTATAGGGCAGTGGTTCTCAACCTATGGGTCATGACCCCATTTGGGGTCGATCAACCATTTCATGGGGGTCGCCAAGCAAGGCTGTCCGCCATTTTTTTGTCCATTTTTTTTGTCCGCCATTTTTTCCCCCTTTTCCGGCGGGTGCCTTACCTCCCTTGGGCTGGGCCAGCTAGTGGTCAGCCTGCTCTGTCTCTGCCACTTGCCAGCTACGCCTCGGCCGGCACAGGAGGCGGAACCACGCATGCGCGGCACTTCCGGGCAGGGAAAGTCCTCAACTTACGACCGGTTGGGTAGTCCTCAACTTACGACTGGTTTAGTCCTCGACTTACGACCGGTTTAGTCCTCGACTTACGACCGGTTTAGTCCTCGACTTACGACCGGTTGGGGTCGTGGCATTAAAAAGGTTGAGAACCACTGGTATAGGGTTTCCTGCCTGAGCAGGGGGTTGGACTAGATGACCTCCAAGGTCCCTTCCAACTTTATTATTATTATTATTATTATTATTATTATTATTATTATTATTATTATTATTATCATCATCATCTATTATTATTATTATTATTATTATTATTATTATTATTATTATTATCTGAAGAACATTAAAATGGGGACATAATTGGTTATGAGATCTTTTACCTGCTTTGGCTGGCTGCCAGTTATCTTTCCTAGCATCTTCTTCATGACCTAGTTACCTCCAAATTACACTCTAGGAATGCATTCCCCATAGAAAAATGTCCAGAAGTTGCAAATGATACAAAATGTGGTAGCTTCGTCACTGGTCAGTGCTAAGCATTTTAACCATATTGTCCTATTTTAAGCTGCTGGTGCTTACTTTTAATGGTTGGAGAAAAGGTTATGTTAGTGACCTTTCCCTAATCTATTCTCTGCATGCTGTAGTCATCTCTTGAGGTCATCTCATGTAGTGGTTGTCAATTTTAAACTCCCAGGTGTTGTTGGATTATAATCTTTCTACCAACAGTGCCAATAGCATTGGAACTTAGTGTGAATTATTTTCTACTGACTACATAAGGATGAGAACTACTGGTCTAAATATTTCCTAAATATTTTAAAAATGTCAGAAACTTTTACTGTAAAGAACTTTTAAAAGTTTTTTTATTATACAAGTTTAGCTTTATTCTTCTTACATCATGAAATATACTTTTCTTGATGTTTAAGCTGGGATTTTAAGATCAATAATATGAATGGCTGACTTCCATTCATAATATAAAATCAATGATGGTATCTGGGTGCTGGTTTCTCTCTTTTTTCCAGGTGTGAATAATAGCTGTTCAAGCCATTTTAAGCTTTTATTGCATTTCTCATTATCCAAAGTTATTTCTTAAAAGAGAAGCAGATATCGTATATTTCAGTTTTATGTAATATAGCAAGCATATATGGATTGTGGGGATGAAGAATAAAAATAGATGTCCTATTGTTACCTATTGTTACCTTCCAGATGGAGATTATAATGAAAGTATTGATTTTGTTACCTCCTGAGGTTAATAGCAGCATTCAAAATGTGATAATAGCAGTAGTATATTACATGTACAATGGGTTCCGTATCAGTATTCTAATCTATTTTATACAATATTCTGTTTTTCTGTTTTCATTTCTTTGACAAACCATAGTAGAATTCATCTTATTTTGCACCATTTCTTCTCACACTACTGTAGTTTTCTCTAGGCAACTTGCTGTATAATGGTACTGAATCAACGGAGAAGATATTAGGATGGAGCAAAATAAGTTCTGAGGCAAAGAGGAATTCAGAAAATATGGGCACATTTTACAGTCATGAATTATGATATACAGAGACACAAAGCTTTCAGACTCAGGGCTCCAAAGTTATCCTCCATCTGTTCTATCCTTCCTTCCTTTAATAGATTTATTTTCTAATACAAACTGGTGGAAAAGCAGTGAGAAACCACAACAGTTTTCTAACAGGAAGACAACAATAGCCTGGGAGAGGGTTGCCCGAAATGTATTGACACTAGATCGTTTTTAGGTATGGTTGTGATTTTGGTTGGGGGTGGATTAGAATAAGTGCAGCTTTCAGAGAAGGTTTCTTGAGTGTTGGATGTCACAAAGATATTCCAATTAAAGGGTCTTTCTCTGAAACATAACCATGATACAGACATGCCCCAACAGCCTCTTTTTTCTACAATGTTCCCATGATGTCACCTTCATCTTGTCCCCAACTCATATCTGAAATAACTCAAAGTCATCCTTAGTTGTTCCAGTTTGATGTAGTGTTTTTCCTCTTAGCCAAGAGGCTATGATGGTAGTGGGGGGTTGTGTAGTGAAGCAGAAGAAATAAGTGGGGTGTGTGTGTGTGTGTGTGTGAGAGAGAGAGAGAGAGAGAGAGAGAGAGAGAGAGAGAATCTAGAAAAGTATTAAACCCTTGTTAAAAACCTGCCTAAAATTTGTAACTTTGAACAGTCACTAAATGAACTGTTGTAAGTTGAGGACTACCTGTATAGATAATTCTGAGGCTTCCTGTAATGTTTAAGTCTCAGGTTTCTGAATTTTATTTGTCTCTCTTATTCCCCCCCCCTTTTCTTCTTTCTTTTCCTTTCCCTACAGCAGCTTCGGGGAAGCCACATATAATTCAGTGTCGATCACCTGAAATGGAAACATTTTCATGTTACTGGAGTACAGATGATTTTCCTCATGAATTTGAACCAGGAAAAATTCAACTGCTATACTCAAAAAGGTACTGAGAAATCAATCATGCCCTTGAAAAATGTTATCTAAAATGAATTCCATTTTTTTGTTGAAACTGCAGAAATAAAGACCTACTTACAGTTATCAGCACATCTTTCTTTTCATACTTATTAGTCTATGCCACTCACGACTGTGTGACATGGAGAATCTGAAGATCAATTTCTGTTTGACACATTAAATGGCAACCAAGTTTAATGTTATGGTTGGATAATAGGAGATTGTAGTTTTCTTCCAGACTAATCTTGCTTGTTTAGACACAAGGAAAAGGTTTTTTTTAACCGTGTTATGATGGGCAACATGTAAAACAGACTTTGTAAGAAAATAAGAGTTCTTTTTTTTTTTTTTTTCAACAAAATTTTTTATTGGTTTTATTTTACATGGTGGCAAGGCCATCAATTAATCAAAACAAAATCATATTTTTACAATTCAAATTATTTCAATATAATTAACT